CCTCTAGGGAAATATGCACTGACCAAGCCCCACGGCCAGAAGGAATGATAGTGCCAGGTAGCTTATTTGGGATAAGCTATATATATATATCACACACACACAGCCCTTTTTTGTTTCTGTATTAGATTGCTGGGTTCACTTCATTGTTAATGCTGTACCTAAGCCTTAGCTTATAGAGGTACCAGAGGAATTAAATTACCTGGCATTCCCCATAAATTAAAAGATCAATGAAATCATCAGATAGAGGTAGCATGGTACAGCAGAAGGAATACCAGATCAAGAATCCAAAGAGTCCTCCTCATTCGCAGAATTACCACCCACTAGCCTGACAAACCAGACATTTCATCATTTGTAATATAAGAGTTTTGTACTAAATAGTCTTCAAGGCTCCATCCAACCTTAGAATTTCATGTTTCTGTGAGCCTTTAAAAGCGTAACAAAAAGCAAGTCATGTTCTGGTCACCAAGGTTCCTCCAGGGGCCTCAAAGGCCTCACAGGTTTTGCCTGTGAAATTCTTTTTTTTTTTTTTTTTTAATTTATTTCTAGGAGAGAGAGAGAGAGACAGTGTGAGCAGGGGAGGGTCAGAGAGAGAGGGAGACACAGACTCCGAAACATTTGCCTGTGAAATTCTAAAAGTGGCCTTGCAATGAAGCCCAGTCCATATGGATATAGCAGGCAGTTCTTTGGGATGAAAGAAGAATGAGAATCAGGTTGGAGAATCATTGGAAAGCCAGAGATAAAAGAGAAAGTTAGCACACATTCTTGTCCGTATTTACCAGAGCATACATCTACTGCAGGGACTCCATCCAGCATGGCATCATGGCCTCCCTGGAGAAGGGCTTCTTTGGGGCCTGAGGCAACCTCATCAATATGAAGAAACAGACATGGGTCTGATTTGTCCTTCACATTACTAAAGGGTTTGGGTGGGAAATGATGTGGGAGAAAGAAAATAGTGTTAGGCATTAGGCGTAAATGTGATTAGCATCTTCTCCTGGTCTGAAATACTCCTCAAGATGGTAAATCGAGGGGTACTTGGTTGGTGCAGTCAACTAGATATCCAACTCTTGGTTTCAGCTTGGGTCATGATCTCATGGTTCGTAAATTCGAGCTCCACATTGGGCTTTGCACTGACAACATGGAGCCAGCTTGTGATTCTCTCTCCCTCTCTTCCTCTCTGCCCATCCTTCTGTCCCCTGTTTATGCTCACTCTCTCTCTCTCAAAATAAATAAGTAAACATTAAAAAAAAAAAAAGACAACAAATCAGGATTCTTTCTCATGCCTTACCTATAGGGATATAGTCACTTTTGGCTGAGATCCCAGCCTGTAGATCAGCAGAGGAGAACATCTAAAGTTCAAAGCTAATCTTTCTAAAACATCACTGTGGCCATGCAGCAAGCTGTAGAAGAAAATGCTCTTAATGACATTCAAGTAATAGAGGTATTATCAGCCAACCAGTCAATGTTCATGGAACCTTTCCTGTACTGAGGGCCCGCCCTGTGAGAGGCTGTCTGAGATTGCCGGTCTCTCTATTTTCTCCTTCTTTTTTCCCTCCACAGTTTGCTTAGGCTTCCCCTCCGAATCATCCAGCCCTAACCTCTCCTCCACAGAGGCTAGATGTAGCAGAGCCAGCCCCTGAAAATTCTTATGGATCCCTACCACCCAAATCTGGATTAAGTACTTCCCTCCTGTCCACACCCCTGTGCTACACTCATCATCATAAGCTACAATTGTTTGCAGTGGGTTCTCTCAAGGGTCAAAACCATGTTTTATTTATCTTTGTATCCCCTTAACAATGCCTGGCACATAGAAGTATGGAGTAAAGGATGATGAATGAATAAATGAATGAATGAATGAATGACTACATCCATAGACAACAGATAGGGCCACCATGCCTAACTTTCCAGAACAACCTTAAACAGAAAATAATACAACATAAAGAATGTAGATGACATAATAGAAAGAATTATCTTTACTTTTGAGAAGTTTCCAAAGTTGTACAGTTACCATAGTCATAGAAACTGATAGCCCTTCCTCTTTATATTTCATCACTCACACACAGCCATTTATATGACCACCTCATCTGTCTGGAGCACAACTAGCTGACCATAGGTATCATCTAGCTCCTGGAGCATAAGAGCATTTCAACCTCTTTCTCAGATCTAGGTACTTACTTCAGGTATAATTCCAAGAACTCATGAAGTGTGTGTGTGTGTGTGTGTGTGTGTGTGTGTGTGTGTCTTCCTATAAATGAAAATGAAAAATGTTCATGTGGATGACTTTGTATTCTATTAAAGTTATTAAAAGGCATGATAAAAGGAATTTTATAACTTTTTTTTCTTTTGCTAAGATGGTTAAAATGAAAAAGTGTCTCCTGAAGAAATAGTCTTCAGGTATTTGAAAAATTCACATCATGTGAAGCATTTTTTTTTCTGATGTTACTGGAAAAATGAGGTGCATGTATGGGTAGTGACGATTCAACTATGCACACATTGTGCAGAGAAGCCAAGCCTTGTGTCCTTCCTTGGGGTAAGTTTCCTGCGACAAGTAGTGATGTCCCAAGCTTGACACCTTTCCATTATTGAGATTTTGATCTAATCTACATCCAGTCTTCAGATGCTTTAAAAACTTTGGATCGATTAGTCATTTTTCCCTTCCTATTTTTTCCATTGTAACGTTGGACTCAAGCCGTCAAGCTTCCCAAGCACATGTTGCTATAGGAGACTCTGTTTGTTTAGGGTGGAGTCGTTGTTTTTGGCAGGTTAAGGGAAGAACAATTAATTCTAATAGGTATATAGTAAATTAAATACTTGGGTCTTGCCAACATTTTCTATGATTTTCTGCTCCTTTTCATAAATTCATTTTTCTTCTCAGATGACCCCTTTAGAGCAGAAAAGAAGCAGTTTCTAGAAATCATGTTTGGGCGATAGCAATGAACATTCCATCAGCAGGTAGAGAAGGTCACCGAGACCTATTTCTGCTCTTTTCAACCTATCTTCCCTAGCGTTCCTAAGAAGAGAAGCCATCCTTGGGGAAGATTTTGGGAAGGAGGATCCCCCTGGATCCTTTATTAATTCATTCTAATGTTTAAGTTGTTCTTACAAAAAGAAAGATCTCCCTTTAATTCTCCATACTGAAGACTGTACTTTTATATGTAAAAAAAAAAAGTATTTTGGATGATCTTTGGATTTTTATAGACAATAACATGAAAAATAAAGAAGGAACAGATTACGTTTTGCCAATGAGTCAGTCATGGCTGGAGAAAAAGTAGCAGATGCAGTGTTAGATGAGGAAAATACACTCCAAACACTTGAAAAAGAAAAAGGAAACTCTGGGGGAATCTCAGTAGATATATCTTGTCCTCCTGGAAGGACCCAAGAGCATTTATAGGTGTTAAGGAGGCAGCTAGCTGTATTTTATAGGGCTGCAATTATAGACCCAAGTTCTGATTGTATAGTTATCCCAAGTTCTGCAGAGCCAGAGTAACTGGCTTCAGTGTTAAAGACAAATGCTCATCTCAAAATCTTTGAATTCTATCCCAGTGAGGCCCTTGTTGAAAACAGAATTCATTTTTACTTCCTGCTCTCAACTGACTTCGCTGTACAGCTGTGCAACAGCTGTTGAGTTCCACCCCACAAGTAGCAACTTTTCAGTGATTGGCAAACTGGTATACATCTGGAATGATGTTCAAATGACCTCAGGACCCCATAGAATAAATCAAAACATTGAAGTAATAATTTGGATGAGCTCGTTCTGATGTAATTCAATTGCTGAAAATTATTTAATGGCCTTTTTTTTTTTTTAGTTTTGTGATCTATCTCATCAAAGCACAGTGAAATAGGGAACAGTCCATTTCTATTTGATATTTAAGGAGGGTGGGGGAAGAGAAAGTGATTTAAACATGTAAACTGGAAGGCGACCTAAGAACTCAAAAGTCTACCGACTGTCTTGTGGTACAAAGAGTTTGACCACAAGATGTTTCCTGAGGCTTCGCAATTGGGCATCCACTCAGGATGGGAAGCAGCCAATGCGATTGAGTAGGTGGGTTGGCTGGTATGTCCTCCAGGATGCTGTGGGACACTGTTTTTCTCCAGGAGTGGTTCTAGGGAAACAATGCATTGGGCTTCAGAGCTTTTATTTTAACCGCTTGTTGCTGTTCTTATCGTACATTCCCTTTTGGGGAGAAACACTCCATTAACTCTGGTTTGGCCTGGTCCCCTTTCCCATTTTGGTTTCTGTTAACTTGCAGCAGTAACAGGAATGAATGGAAACACTTTTGCTTTCTCTGCTCTACCCCTATGTCTAGCTGCTGAGCTTTAGGTGGCTGTACATGTGAGACTATTTATGTTCTAGCACTGGGGTTCCAAGCCCTAGGACCCCTGCATTTTAGACAGACATCATTTGAGTCCTCACAGCACCTCAGGACCACCAAGGTCTCTAAACACAAGTGGCAGCAAAGGGGTGGTAGTTATGGTTCTTAAACTGGGAGAAGGAGCAGAAAGTCAAGACACATGACTTTAATCCCACACTCTGCTTGACCCTAGCTATGCAAAGCAGGGCAATTTTTGTCATCTCTATGCATCTCTCATTTCCTCACTGATCAAATGGGAACTGTAAAGTCAACCTTGCTGGCTCCACAGGCTTTTCATGATGATGAACAGGGTTTGAATGTGTGAGAATATTTTGTAATCTACATGACATAAAGACCTATTATTACAAGGTGAACAAATTGGCCAAGGAGTTTAAGTGAACCATTCCGGATCCTAGAGTTGGTCAGAAGCAGAGTTGTTGCAAGTGAAATTTGACAAATCCTTGGGTCTAATGGTCTCAAGACTTTTCAGCTTCTTGAGAATGTTAGGTCAGTTTGTATCCTGCCCCTCAGGTGCTCTCCCAGAATACCCCTGGAGTTCCATGGATTATGGTGGGGTGAGGATAGGTGGGAGAGTTGGGCAAAGCCCAGTAGAACTGTTCTTAGACACTGACGGTCTCATGCCTTCACCAGCCTTTCCAAGCAGATGGGTGGTGTGATACCATCAACAACCGGGCCTACTGCCACTATGATGGGGGGGACTGCTGCTCTTCCACTCTGTCCTCTAAGAAGGTAAGCAATCCTACCTGCAGGTGACAGGCAGGCAGGATCTCCAGAAGTACACACAGGGGCTTTGGGTTGATTCTCCTTCATAATTGGTGTTTATTCAACATTCAAGAAGGGAATTATAATGAACAAACGTTTAAACTTATATGGTGGCAGGATTAAAGGCAGTGATTTTAGGTGAGGTGGTTATAAAACGCTAGTTCTCTAAGGAACTCCTTCAGAAAAGCCATGGCTTTTGCTACTCAAAGACTCAACATCTGCTTATAATTGTCTAGGATATACCTCTGTTGGCGGGGAATTATGGCCTCTACCCCCGTTGGTAAGATTACCAATGAAGTGATATCCAATGATTAATCTTTGTAATTAAATTAATACTCCTATATAGTATAGTATAACCATATTTCTAGTATATGTTACATGGCCACCACAAGCTACTTGGAGAACTCCCTAGACCATATCCTGAGCAGTAATCTTTTTCTTAATTCCTTTTATCCCTATGTCTCTTCAGTGTACTTGGATTATTAAATGATATGCCCATCTATCTTTACATCACTTGATTGTCCATGCCCAAAGGTTAGAATTCTTGCCACTTTTTATATCATGTGTCCCAAGATGTCCAATTTTCTCTGAAGCTAACTGCATACACTCAGAAAGTATGTTGGCAGCAATGCAGGCAGGTAGAGAGCACCTTTTGCTGGATGATTTTGGCATGGAGTAGAGATAATTACATAGCAGGAAGGCAATCCAGACACAATGGGTAGAGAGATGCATTGTTTCACCAAGCCAGAGTATATCCTGGGTTCAAAGTGGCCAGAATCTCATGCTCATGAAGACAGCAAAGATGATCTTATGGCTCCAAGATTACTAAGAAGTAGAAGTCATAGAACTAGGGTGTACAGCCTTAGTTTTCTGGATGGTAGTGTCATGACATTGAGTTAAGTATCCAACCTCTCTTGGCCTTCCCTATAAAAAGAGAATGCTAACATTCATCTTGCTTAATTCACAGGGATTTTGTGAAGAGAGTAATAGCAACGAAAACATTATCAGAAGTTTTTGGCATTAGTTTTAATATTAGCAGCAGTAGTAACAGGTGTTAGGTGCCTGGCAATGTGTGTTTTGTATCCATCATTTTATTTAAATCACACTAACACCCCCTGGGGTGGTTACTGTTGTCCTTCGACACACATAAAAGTGAAGCAGGGAAGATTTACCTTGCCCAAAGAGATATGATGTGTAAGTGAAAGGACTAGAGTGTTAATTTCAGTTCTGTGATATTAACAGTAATCCCATACTTCCTCTGGGACCAAGTGAGAAAAGCAAAAGCCGATTGAAAAGTATGAAGCTTGGCACGAAAATGGGTTATTTCAACTTCTCTTTAATTTCCACTAGGTCATTCCATTTGCTGCTGACTGTGACCTGGATGAATGCACCTGCCGGGACCCCAAGGCTGAAGAAAATCAGTAACTATGGAACCAAGCCCCTCCTTCTACCGCCCTGGTGGCAGTAAGAAAGAGAGGCCTCCACAAAAGGACACAAAAGGTGAACCAAGAAGAAAGATCATGAGATAAAGGAAGAGCATGAGAATCTTGTAGAATGCAGGAGGGTATTTATAGGTACCAACTATTGCATCAAGTAGCCCAAGTAGGGGAGAGTCATAGGCAAAAGTTTCTTCAAAGGGACAGTTGACTAAAAGTGGAAGGAGAAATATGATAGATATACAAGGACCCTCCTCCCCCATTTATATTCTATTCAACCCCATCCTCACCTCCTGCCCTGCTCCCCACTCTGTACCCTGCCAACTATTCAACCCCACCCAGCTTGTCAACCAATACCAAAATACTAGAAGAGAAGTTGCCAGGGACACTCTGTTAACACCCATTGTGAATGGATTGCCATCTTTCAGGGCTCATCTGCTCTAAACTGGCTCCCTTCCTTTTGTGTAGTCTCCCTTAGTAATGACAAGGTTAGTTATTAATTCTTTGTAAGTATTTAAACATAATTATATAAATATATTATATATATTATATTTTTTGCTGTCTACTAAGCTAAAAATTATACATTGTTCCACACATGCTGCTGTGAAGTTCACATCCAAAATGAATACTGAGGATTTGAGGACAGAAAGACAAGTTCTTCTGCCATCTTTCTACTGATGAGGGTTGGCAGGTTGAAAGGGAAGTGGAGAAGGAGAGAGAGAGAGAGAGAGAGAGAGAGAGATTAGATGGAGTTCTTGATACTAACATGCCAGCTAATTATCTTTTCAGGAGCAGGAAGCTGGACCCAATTTGAGGAGATGGAGGGTTGGTATGGTAACATTAAGAGGCATGGCAGGTTAGGTTGGGAGTACCCATTGCTGCTAAGTCCAGGAGAACCAGACTCTAGTTCTTGTGTATCTATCCAAAAAGAATATATTCACTACTTTTCACTTCTTGGAACTCTTATTTGGAATTGATGAGACCCCAGATTCTCTACACTTTCAAGTGTGTCTCTTACTAGTTAGTCAATAAATTTATACTGGGGCTGGGATTGCCAGGATTACAGGAACTCACACATTCCTCCTGCTTGGCCTGTGGTCTCACTCCTTCTAAGTCCCCAAGCCTGGCCGTCATTAACAGACACATGGCCAATTGCTGATTTTCGGGGGTGGGGGGGAGAATGTCACAGACATGACCATCCCAAAAGTGGGAGATGATGGAAGAATAGGCAGAAATGAAGGAGCCCAGGGAGGCCATAGAGATGGGAGAGCCCATGGGTAAGTCACAACCTCACACAGGAGGATGAAATGAGTCAAAGAGATTCAGCCTTGTTCCAAGTCTCCAAAACAGATCGGAGGGGAATTAGTCCAGCGATGCAGAATCTGAGGTAAATTCTATTAGAGTGCAACATATCAGATCTGTGACCTAGAGATTTTGATTTGAGCAAGCTTTGGAAACACGTGGAGCAAGGGTGACACTCTGTGGGAAAAGAGAAGAATTTCAACTATTTAGGGTCCATTTCGTTGCCATTATCCTTTCTTGTTCAATAAATCAATGGTCTGTAGGTAAGATGATCACCATGTTAACCTGCCTCTATTTACCTTCCAGACTTACTCTTCTTGCACGTGGTCTATTGCAGTTGTTTTTGGTAACAATTTCTGGGTTAGGCCTTGGGGAAAGAGCATTAACCTCTTGCTCAACACGTCAGTTTGTCATCTCAAGAAGGGCTGGAGGCTTGCTTCCCTCAAAGCTTCTTCTCCAGTGGCAGCAAAGAACAGGACAAAATTAGAGTGCAACCTTGGTCTCTGAATCATCTGCTCTTTGGCTCTGACCACAAGCTCTCTACTCTTCCCACCAACACTGAAGCAATGGCTTTGCAAATAGGAAGAGGAATTACTACCTACCACTATCTTGAGGCAGATTTCACATGAGAAGGAAAATATTCTGGAATGGGAAAACAATTTGTCTCTAGGGATATAAAATGATGATGGCACTATCATTGGGAAAAGGAAAAAGCGGATTGCCCATCCGAAAAGTCCTTGTCCTCTATGTTTTTAGCCATAATGGAAACCTAGGTACCTACCATTCATTGGATTCATATTTAATACCCTAGGAAGAGACCAAATATTTCTGCGATTGTAGTAGGTTTTGATATGGAAAGGATAGTTAAAAAGTTTAGATCCTCCATTTTTCACAAAGTTGTAACATTGTTTTCTTGGGGAGAATATCCAAACTCTTGGAAATACATCGAGCTTTGTATCAGCGAATCCTGCTTTGTCTGAGATTGAGGCAACAGAACAGGCATGTTGGCTATGGCCCAGCTTAGGAAGGCTACAGCCCCCTACGAGCATGTGAGCCTGCCGTTCACGCTAGTGTGGGTCTGTACTCAGTCTCTCCATAGGGGGAAGAGTGAGAACACTTCTCTGTCGGATTTCATTTACAAACATTTTATTCTCCATTGGCGACATCTGCAGTGCACCACCACCCTGGGAAGATGAGAGGGCAGCTCCTGTGGTGTGTGGAAAGCCCTTCTAGCTGAAGGCTGCCTGGCCCTACTCCACCATGGCTATTCAGGGATGGCAGGCTCTCCCAGCCCTTGTCCCTGGAGCCTAGCATGTTGAGCTCTCATGTCACTAATAAGGTGGGAGGACTGAGCCACCATGGCCATAGCACCCCAAGAGATATCAACTCACACTCAGTCCATGTGGTGGTCTGCACTTGGGTGTCCTTACTCATCCACGGGGTAATGGAGGACCTGTCCCATAGGACCCTTCTTTGTTCCAAGAAAGAAGGGCCTATGCCCTTTTTTTTTTTTTTTTTGCTTCTCTTTTCTCTAATAACTAGGGGCTCTAGTGTCAAGGCTACCCAGGACTAAGCTGACTCTGGTGGTTTGTGTGACAGTCCCCAACCAGACAGATGAGAGGAGAGTGAGGACAGATGGGCAGCTGGCAAAACTGTACATGAAAGGGAAGAATTACTCTTGATTCTCTCCTTTGCTTCCCTCCATCACAAGACATTGCACTTGGCATTTCCTTTACTCTGTGAGATCACTATTGAGTGCGTTAGTTAGCACCCCAAGGGGTTGGCTTGATTGGGAACACAATGAAAGGAGCTGATCTACTGTATTGTAATGTAAAACAGCTACAGCCAGTTATTTTGTAAGATTATAAGGTGTTCATTAAAAAATCAGCACAGAAAATGTGAAATGTCTTTGGTGTCTTATTATTTGTTTAAATCAACCATCACTTCCAAATCGCTTCCCATTCACTTGTGCCAGGTCCACACATCGTCATCAATTAATTGATTGATCATTCCTTTTAGTCACTTAAAAGTGATTTATTAAGTAAATGGCACGTGTAGAGAAAATAAACATGAAATTTTATGAGATGAGATGACGTGTACCAAAGCAGAGCACTCAGTAGTGATGTGTCTCCTGGGTTGTAGAAACAAAGCCCAAGAATCACTTACGGGTCAGAGGAAGTAGGTGGCACTCCTGGATGCCAAAGGTACATAGCGTTTGATGGATGGCCCAAGAAGGAGGCATATAAGCTTGGTAGACAGAAATGGGAAGAAGGAAAGGATAGTCCAAGCAAAGTGAAGATCAGGGCTGAAGATAGGATGTAGGTTTGGGGAGAGGCTGGGTGATATTGGACATCACTGAGGCATCCAGGTAGAACTTGGCTAACGTGCTATGCAATTGGCAAACATAATCTCATTTAACTCTCACAGCAAAGTCTGCAACTTCCATATTCTCATTACATAGATAAAGATAGCAAGTGTCGGTCTGGTGAGGAAAGTTCCTTAAGTTTGCATGAGTGTCTTTGTTTTAAGCCTGGTTCTTTTTAAAAATGTTTTAATGTTTTTTTTTTTTTTAATTTATTTCTGAGGGAGAGAGAAACAGCATGAGCAGAGGAGGGTCAGAGAGAAAGGGAGACACAGAATCTGAAACAGGCTCCAGGCTCTGAGCTAGCTGTCAGCACAGAACCCGACGTGGGGCTCAAACCCATGAACTGTGAGATCATGACATGAGCCAAAGTTGGACACTTAACTGACTGAGCCACCCAGGCACCCCTATTTAAACCCTGGTTCTGTGAGCCCTCAGGATGCAAGAAGCAAAAGAAAAATGGTGTTTAAGAGGACGTGCGTGAAAGGGAAGGGGGAGAAATGGAGAGAAATGTCAAAGATGAGGTCTTTGCATTAAGCCTATATGCCCTTGAAGATTATCATCACTGACAGAAAAGGGAAGCCAGGATGAGTGATCTTTTGAAGAACGCACCTATATTTGCAAGTTGATAAAATCAGTTTGGGGACCAGATAGATAGTTGGAAATTTCCAGTGAAGTAGTGTTCAGCACACTGGAGGAGGCCTCTGCAGCTGGGGACAGCTTGCCAGGGTCTCTGGTCATGAGAGGCATCATCTGATGGCCCGAAGGGCTGGGTGGTTGTCTTAACACACCTGTTAGCCATTTGGTAAGGCCCATGGAATAGATAGGTGGAAATGTGTGCTTGGAACTTGGGGAAGAGGTTTGTGACCAGAAATAAACATTTGAGTTAAAAAAAAAAAAAAAGAAAGTTACCTGACATTTTCTTTATGGCTCACCAATTGCTTTCTTATGCTTTATTGTTACCCATGGGTGAGGCAGAGCAACACCAGCTTTGTCTGTTTCCATTTTACAGATGAAGAAACTGAGTGTTGGATTATTGACAACTTGAAGTCCATGTAACTAAGTTCAGCTTGGGCTGGGAATCCAAGTTTTCTGTCCCTCCAAGGCAATATGCACTCTACTACATGGTGGTTAGCCCACAAGACCCAGCGTGAACCCATACCCATATTAGGTGGGAAAGCTAAGTGTCTTTTTACCTGTTTGTGTTTCCAGGTGCTCACTGGCTTCCTTGTGGCTTTGGTAGTAGCTAATGGTAGGAAAGCTGAGAGTTTTCTAGAGTACTCTTCCAGGGCCCTCTTTTCATGCCAGGCCCTGAGTATAAGCAGATGCCCCTGCACATGGCAGCTAGGCCAACTGGACGGAGTCTTCTGGCAAGGCTCCCTTCTCCCTAATAGCTTCCCCAGGGATAGTCCTGGAGAGAGACTTTGGAGCTCTGGTTTCCATTGACTGACAAACTTAAATGACATGATGAGTCACCCATTAGCTGGGAGACTCACTACTCTTAGATTGAGGCTAACCAGATGATGAGGGGCTGAGCAAGGGGAGGTTGGGAATGAGAAGGTTTTCCACTTATAAATAGCCCCATGGGCATCTCCAGAGTGGGCTTGGGGTCTCTTTTTAAGTCACCCCACAAAGACCACTGATTTTGGATCCATAACATTTTGGGTTGCCTATTGGTTAACTCAGAAAGAAAAGTGTGTGGTGGTGAAAAGTTCTATATCTCATAGTACTCCATGCCCATAAAATCTACCTGTGCCTTGTGTATTTGGGCCTGGAACGAGATAAGACTGGCTTAGAGACTAGATGGTTATTTTCAAGTCTGCCATAGTCATTTTCCTGTTCAGAATCCAGTCTGTTGGTCAACTCCTTGGGAAGTGTGTGTGATTG